AAATCGTTTAGCTTGGAAGGCAGTTCCTTCTCCAAGTAATGTACGCATTATGAGTAGAAATGAGTTTAAATGTGTAAGTAACTAATAGCAGTTTTGTGGCCATGACAATACAAAGGAAAAATAGGAAACCTTAATCCATGAACCCATCCGTGTGAAAATAGCAAAGCTCGTAATAATTTTGTTCAAATCACGTTATTCGCTACATAACTGAGACATTCGTCGGAGCATGTGGCAGGCAATGTAGTAAGTGGCAGCATTGCACATCAAAAAACATGTATAAAGTAGAGAAGCACAGCTTCCAGCAAGATATGAATGTTTTTGTATGTTAAGTATAACTGTAGCACCAATCATGATGTATGAAAGTGACACTCTCAATAATTTAAGTCTTGGAAAAGCTAGTCTCAATGGTTTTGAATTTGCTTTACAGTAAGATTCAGTCTTTGTTTGAATGGAGGCATGCACATCCACTTTTCTCACATACCAATAAAAAGGAAACAATGGACTTATATTCACTGAGAGTTATGACGCTAACGAAACCAGGATAACCCTACAGGGATGGAAAGAGAGAAACTTAGACTACAGAATCCTAGAGAATCGTCAATGGAAGATTTACATTACTTGCCAAACCATCAACAAATTGTACAGATCCTTACATTCATGTGTACAGATAAAGCAAGATCTACTGAAATTAACTATGAAAAGAAGCCTACTTAAGGAAATTCATCAAAACCATTTGGGGGCAATTCATCAAACAACTGAATCCCATATGCTTAAGGAAATTCAGCAAACACATAATTGACATGGATGTTTCCTGGTGATCAAGCCTTCATAATTACTCGCATAGCTTTAACCACATGAGACATGAGGTACTCAGGAAGCGAGCCAAATCTACAGCCTGAAGCACTCACCTACTATGCATTAATCTGCTACCAAGGATTGGAGAAGGCAGCGATGGCTACAGCGGTGCCGTTACAGCCTACATACCTATGTGAATTTGGAATTGCAAGGACTAATAAGTTGAACAGCTCGAGGAAATTGGTCGCGCTAGCCTCCCTCTTGCTGGTCGCCTCCACCTCGGTCACATCGGCGCCGATGGCCTCAGACAGAGCAGAGATAGAAATCAAGCACTAACAGATAAAGAAATAAGAAATGTTCCAAACAAAAATTCATTTCAAAGGAGAGGGTAATGAATCTGTTTATCAAGTTGGTTGCCGGTTATAATGTATTTGGCCCAAAATCTACCACTCCCCGATCCATACACACATACTCGTGGTCTCCATATCATCTCTCTTTCTCTCCAATAATCATCCAAACAGAGGAGCACAGTTCAGTAAAAAAAACAGAGGAACACAGCTAGCAAAGAAGGCTAAACAGAAACATATTTCTCACCTTGGAGGTGTTGCTTCTGCACTGAATTGTCTGAACAACTCTTTCTCTACCTCTTCTGAAACCTGAAATATGCATATGTTAGAAAGCTTCTAATTTTTATGTGATGATATTAAGAAAAGGGAAAAGGAGTATCAAGAACAGATTCATATGTTTGGCCATTAGCCATTACAAACTTCAATATATCAATCTCTGTTCCATGGGTGGGTGGGTGGCTAATAGGTGCCTCCACGGCTCAACAAGTGTATGCGCTGCCACCACTCGTTTGTTGCAGCTTTCCGGCGTTGTTCAGTTTGTCGCTCGGCCATCTTGTTCTTTCTCCATCAAATGACACGACGGTCAAAGTTCTAGAGGGAACGGTCATGTGCTGGTGAGTGGTGACTTATGGTGTTTGCAGCAGATCATATCTGAACGGAAAATGCTGGATAATTTGCATAAGCTAGGTGAATAATTAGTATTGGCATGTGAAATTGACACTTTGTACTGCTTTCCACTAAAAGTAACACGAAGATGTCAGAGCACATAAATGCAATTTGCTTGTTTAGGGACCTTTGCTTTTGATGACAATCAGGATGATCTCATGAGACAAAGTGTATTTCTTCACGATCTGGAGTAAGACAACTGCAGTCAGTATTATTTTTGAACAACTTATAAATCAAAATCATCTAGATAAAGCTCATGTTAAGAATTTGTTGTGTCGCTGAGCACATCCTTATACAAAAAGAAGTATAAAACACACATCTCTTTGAGGTGACTTAAGAAACAAAAGTTTTGACACCTTTTTTTTACCTAGCAGGAACTTGCTTGGCTTCCCTCACAGCGCTCGCGCTTTTAATGCCAATACTGTGTACCAGTTACAATAAACTTCCAAATTAATTTGCCTTTCAGCACATACATGTTGAAGTATCCTCTCTTCAGTTCATGCTAAGCTCCAATCTAAAATCTGGCAAGTAAACTGATACAAAGTGAAATACATAAGACATATGTTGTAGCATAAGATTGCAGTGAAGAAATTGTAAGGCATGTGTTGTAGCACGACAATTGCAGAATTTCTATTGTTCCAAGACAAAAAGGACTAAATATTTTTTCAGACAAAAAAATGTATCAGCATGAAAGTGTTCTTGCTAGGTTGAGACTTGAGACTGTACGTCCAACCAATAATTCTGAAATAGCATACCTACTGTCAGGTAACCCAGCATCCTCAACAGCGACCCATAGTAGTCCTCCATTCATATTTCAGAATTGATCAGAACAAGATCATCATGCAGCCATCCCCTTTCGCCGTTGGGCCGTCGCCGCCGCTGTAGCCGATCTATACTATCGCCATGCGCCGAGCTCTCGTGCTTTAGAACGGCGCCCTCCTCACTCCCCAGGCCACCGGACGGCAGCTGCTCACCCCCACCACCACAGCTGGAGCCTGCGGGAGAAGGGGTGGGAAGGAACAGGGAGGAAGAGGGGTACGGGGAGAGAAGAGGGCGGCTACAGCCCTGGCTGTAGTAGGAGGGATGGGAGGGAACAGGGAGGAAGAGGGCGGCCGGAGCGCCGGCGTGCTCCAACTCCACCAGCAATAGCATGCATCCGGGGGGGCTCGAGGAAGTCCCGTTCCGGCCATGGGGATGTGGATCCAGGCGGAGGAGATCCTCCAGCGGTGGATCTTCGCACGGGCGGCGGCTCTGGGAGGTGCAGCCGAATGGGAAGTTGAGGGGCGGCCAGATCCGCGGGTGCTGGCGACGAACGGCGGCTCAGCGGCGGTGGTGGCCGGCGGCGCCCGGTGAGGCGGGGCGGGGCAGGAGGCGGCAGCGCGCGGAGGAGATGTGATTGGGAGGCAGGGTCGTGCGGGTGGCCGGGCTAGTTTTTTTTTTCTCCGCCGTACCGGTTCGGGCTGAGTTATGATGAGGACTGCGGGTTGATTTCCTGTAAACCGAGGGGCTTTTTTTGCAAAACAACCATGACGGACGACAGAAACCCAATTCTCTTTATCTAACATATATATAATATATATAAAGCCTCATGGACTCGTAGGCACAACCGATGCCACCAGTACACGGTACCACGCGAGGAAAAAAAAGTCCACCGAACCGCGCCACGCGTGGGGTGCAGCGCACCACGCGAAGAGAAAAGCGACGCTCCTATGGTACCCGCTAAACCAGCGCCAGATAGAAATATCTCCCTCCTCACCCCCTTTCTCTCTCTCGTCTCTTCCCATCCCGCTCCTCTTCTCCATGCCACCGCCACCGCCGCTGCTTCTCCTCCCTCTCGGCCGCCTGTCTCCCCCGCCTCCAACATCTCCTCCTCTCTTTGCCTCCTCACCCAACCAGCACAGCCAGACCACGCGATGTGGACGAGGAGGCAACAGATCGGACGAGGAGGCAACAGATCGGGAGGCGGGCAAGAGAAACCAGGTGGTTCTCCTTCCATGGCCGGGCCTCGACTAGCCGCATCTTCCTCCTCCCAGTCCGGCTGAGAGGAGTGGCGGATCCGCCTCCTCAAGCGAGCAGGGGCGCACGGGGATTCGATCCATGGATCTCCTTGCGAGAGGCCGCCACCGTACCGACTCCAACCTGCAGCCTGTTCCAACTCAGGTTTGTCTTCGCTCTACTTGGTAGGCCACTGGCAGGAACATGTACGTTGATGTATTTGATGTGGCTAATTGCAATCTCTAGCGTTCCTACCATCCTCCCCTTTATCCCTCTTGATATGCGAATTAGGATTCTAGCTAGCAATGCCTCACTATGCTATGTTGTAGCAAAACAATGATATAGATTTGAAAAGTTGATAATCAAGTATTACCTTCGTTTCAACAGAAAATAAATGGTTGGTGAACAAATATATATGTACAAAAAGTCTGCACAAATAGAATCTTCGATGGAAATACGCAAAATAATAGTCCTATGCATACAAGATACAGTATTGTGTGCCATAGATATAGCCTAAAATCTAACTCTGAGTCTCTAGATAATGTGAACCCGTGCTTAATTATAAAACTTGTGAATCAAAATCACTTGAGCAAGTTTCAGATTTATAAATATACTCATGCTTTCCAATTAACGATCCCAACTAAAGCACCAAGAAATATATCATGTTGACAACTTTACTCCTTGCTTGCAGAAAGTGACAGTTATACAAGAAGAACCAGATGCCACTGAAGATGCCAACGGTAACCATGTGTCTCAGTTTGTATTATATATGGGTTCTTTATGCTTGCCTTTAAATCCTTCTTAATTTTCCCTGTGCAGTCCAAGTAAGCATCGCGAACTGCCATAAGCATCGCGAACCACTCGAGTATCTTCATTCCCTGTGTAGAACTGTTCAAGAAAAGCACCTGTAAAACCAAGTTCGTCTTTCGCTCTGCAAACCTGCTCAAAATAGTGGTCGTCCATTGAGACTTATTACTTTATTGTTTCCCATGTCTCAGCAGCGTGGAGGAGCCGGCTTCCCGTGTCAGAGTTGCGTGTACTTGCGGGCTACTTCACCGTCACCAGCCCATCTGTAGGTATGCTAGCTCCTCCTCTTCTCTTCTTTGATGCAAATGCACAAAAGGAGAAGCTCAAATCTGGAGAGTAGCCAATGAGATATAGTTTTAAATTTTGTCTTTCTGCTGTAGTATTGTAGGGATGGACATATGGATTGAGTGGTACCCACCTGAAAGATACACATCTCAGCAGCCAAGAACTTCAATAAAAATGTATATCCCAACTCCTTTTATAATCTTGAATGCTTCTCGGTCAACGTCGGTGTCACTTCCAGTCTTGGATGCTACCAGGATGCCAGGTGCAAACTTCATGGAGGCATAATGGCTCTGTACTAGCTTTTCTTGATGAATGAAAGCAGTGATGCTGATATGGACTATCTGAACAATCCACATTCAGTTTAAGTGATGTTACTTTGCTTGAAAATTTGAGATTGAACTATTAGCTTACTATCAGGTCTGCACCATTCTAGATATCATCTTGACTTTTAACTTCTCCAAATGCAACATTGGATAACATAAATAGGAAAAAAATCAAATTGTGAAACTGTAAGTAATAGCTTCACCTGAATATTGATCTATTGTGTTATTGCAGGGAAGAGGTATGAAATTCTCAACTTAGGAAGGAACATACAACCTATAATGTGTCGATCACTAACTAATAAACAGGAGTCTGATGTTGGAAAGAAGCAACTGGTACCAAAGCAAAAGCATCACGACTCCCCTTACAAATCAATGAAGTGTTCTAATTCTAATTCTGGCGATCTAAGCACCGGTCCAAGGTGATTTACCTCTTCCAGCCACTTTCAGTTTGTTCCAATTCAGTCCCCTCTGAGTTTGTTCTAAAAGAAAGTTCTTGTTAGGGATTTGAGTTTATCCTTTTAATTAACGTGTGCTCGTGCTAAAGCAGCGGCTCTCCCTCGGCTATGCCTGGATGTTCGAGCTGTCAGTGTGGTACAGGAGCAGCAGGCACCATCGCTATCAAGTAGCTCCAGCAATCACGTGCTCACTCTTGCTTCACAGACTATGTATGGTCAGTTCAGGTGATTTTTCCTCGGTGATTATTGGCACCCAGGATGTTACAATCTTATTCATGATCTGATAATTAGCTAGGAATTTTTGAATAGGATTTTAATCAGTTACTGTTTCTTTATTTTGTCCAGAAAATTGGAGGTTTTAGGATCTTTGGAAGTTTTTTGAGGCATCACCCTTCTTGTCCGCAGTTAAAAGGTGTGTGTGTGAGTCTGAGAAAAATACTTTTGATTTACTTATGTTTCAACTTTGGCAAGGCATGTTTGTACAGGTAGTAAAAATGTGATGCAAATGTTTCTTTTACTAATTTGTGGATTTTGATAGTAGAATGTTGTTTTGGGCTGGTGCTAAGGATCATTCAGTTTCAAGGAAAAAGATATATGTGTGGTTTCTTTGCTTTACAGAAGATGCATTATATGATGTTTTCATTTTGGTAATCATAAGAAATTTTACATTTGATGGTGAATTTCAAAATTATTTTGTTTGGATTCTGAATCATGCTAGGCAATGTCGTCTTTGTAATAATTTAAAAGGGGTGCTAGGCAGAACCAAGCCATCCACGTAGGCTATGAATAGTGCAGCGAGCGAGCGAGTGAGCTGGCAGCGACTAAAAACCTAGCTTCCCCACCCACGCCCATGACAGCACGCGACCGTCCCTCCTCCTCGACCTCCCTCCTAGCTGACCCCCCTTTCTCCTCAAGAGAAAAGCCATGAGTTGTTTTACTGAGAGAGAAGAAACAAGTAATATCACATTCTGAAGGTTCATTTCCTTTTATATGGGTGATGGGTCCTTAAAATTGTAAGCATTGCAGTTTTCTAACCATGTACATGGGTGGTACGCAGCTAAGCACTCAAGCTATGATTATTGTTGTATGTATGGATTAATAGCGGTAATCACTGTTTGGTTCAGGCCTTGAGCAGCTAAGATAACTCAAATGTGTACGCTCATTCAAAGTAACTGATTTACCTAAAGAACTTGGTTGATGATCAGGTGTGCATTTTGTATGCATTGGAATTAGATTCAGAATGCATGATGATTGGTTTCTTATGTGTTCATATAGGAAGTAGCTTCTCATGCGCCAACATTTTTTAGGTGTGTTGTGCCGAGGAAATCTTATGCTTCAGTGCGTACATTTTGGTTGTGTTTGTCTAGAGTTTTTTTTTGCTTACAAGACAAAATATTCTTATTTACTTTCATTCATCTATTTGTAGCAAAAAACTATTTCTTCGTGCATAAATATGTTGTGTTCATTATTCGGGTCAAATGAGTGAGACCGTCGTTTTTGTATTGGCTTCAAGGGAGGATGATTTGCTGTGTACGTTTCATTTTCCATCAAGGCCATCATGTCGTTCACTCATGTACATGTCATTCTCTGCTTTTAAACAAGTGTCGAGTGTAACCGCTAGCATGTGTACGAAGACAAATAATTCTCAAGGCACTGGCATGACTGGAGGAAAAGAGGTTCTGCGACTCAAGGTTGGGTCGCCATGTGTATATTTATTTATGTATTCATATCCATGCTTGTGTGGTTTTCTCTATTTTCGGTAGCCAGTCGCATGCCTTCTCCTTATTTGCTTTGTCAATGTTCGTGTGTGCCCAACTCAATTGTTGCTGCTTTTATGTATGTGCTTTCTTATGTGGTAGATAAACTCTTGCTTTAATATATGCACTTCCAGGTTTGACGCAGTACAGTGCGGGGGAGGCGGTGTCCTCTGCAGCTAGGTCTACTTGCTGGCGACCTCACCATCACCAACCCATCTACAGGTATGCTAGCTCCTCTTCTATTAATGCAAAAAGGAGATGCTCAAATGGATTGAGTGGTGCCCTTCTGAAAGTATTGCATTGATGGACATATGGATTGATTGGTAGCTCCTTGAAAGCTACACAGATCAGAACCAATAATTTTAATAAGAATGTGTATCCCAGCTCCTTTTATAATCTTGAATCCTTCTCGGTCCTACTAAACTGTAACTCATGTTTCTTTTTGGAAACAATATTTTGGACATATACTAATTAAGCTAGCTACATGGGAACCTTTTGTTCTGGCCAGATTTGATGATTTCTCTCAATATACTGCTGGCGATGTAGTTGGCAATGATTAGGTGGGCAGTTCTTCGCATTGCATTCTGTATTTAAGTTTGGACAATTGGCTGCTAATTTATCATGTGAATATGTTCTCTCTCTGGAGATGAAGATAGCAAATATTTGTTATATTCTTATCCAATCAGCTCACACCATTGTTGTGATCAACAAAAGATTCAGAACTTCCAAGCTCCGTTTTTTCTTGCTAGCTATGAAGGTGATACTTTAGTAAAAGGTGCATACAGTACTAACATTTTTGCTATCTTTATGCTCCTCCATATGGATGGGAACTAAAAGGATGATGATATTATTCTACCTTTTAATATTTGGTGGTGCATATTTAAGAAAATCACTGCTAAGCATGTCATTTTCTAGAAAGGCGCTTGACTGGAATGTATATGTATATAGTTAATAAAATCATAGTGAAGGATTTTTCAGTTCCTCTATTTAGATTAGAGGCGTCTGCATGCATATTAACCAAGTGATCAGTCTTTCCAGCTCAAAAGAGAAAGTGACCGATGTTTTGGCATATTTTCCTATTAGGAATAAAATGGATATGCCCATGTGCATATGCACACAGATTTCAGGTTACAGTGTAATTAGGAAACAGATGATACCTCATTGTGTAGTCTTGGTCTGAGAAGAGTGGATATACTTGGTGAATATATATGTTCCACCCGACCATTAATTTCAGAGAAAAGGACATGCACTTCAGTAGCAAAAATTTGATTGTTATGTACTATCTGTAATGCTAAGCATTTATTTGCTAATATCTCCTCATCTGAATTTGTATTTTGGTCATTTGGCCTTTTAACTATATGGGCATCTGCAGATGGTCTGAAAAGCAAGATATGCTAGAGATAATAACTATACTTGCTGCTCCAGATGGACTAAGAATGGAACCATATCCTAGGCCTACATGCTAATATTGTACACCAACCAATGCTTCACTTATTTATACTTAATCAGTTGTGTAATAATAAGCGCGATATTAGCTTCTGTACCCATCTTAATGGTTAAAATACTTTTCTTCAATATGTGACACATTTGCTTCTGTTTCCACATGTCTTGCTTCATGATATCAACATTGTTAATCGTTTATCTTTATCTTTCTTTCCCTTTACAGCCTACTTGAATGGATATGGTTCTTGAGAGGCCATTTCTTATGCATCAGGCCCTGAAGGTGGATGTTGCTTGTATGCTAAGCAAGGAAGAGGCATGCCCTACCTGGCAGCGACCACCTTCCACTCAAGGGATATAGCACTATCATTTAGCACACATTGTTCCAGGAGAAACAATAACCATGAACAGAAACAGTAACCAACAATATCCCTACTGACCGGCGTGGCTCCACCAACGATCCATCAGCCCCTGGTACAGAAAGAGGTGATTCATCACTTGCTATACAATCTCTTTCTCTATTTCCTTCTGATTCATCCTTGCTTTCCAATCTCCTTCTCTATTTCCTTTCTCCTGACTGTAGTATCCTCTTCAATCTCAGATCCAGAAGCTCACGCATGGAGGACATGGACATTGGTATCGTCTGTGACGAGGGTTCCCCAGGATCAATAGCGTCAAGGACAGGAACGCCTGTGCCCAATATAATATTCTAAAAACCTATTATACTCCATTCATCGTAGAGATAGCCTCCTGCTCCCCTTCTCTTACTCACGTACCTCCTCCTCCTGCCTCCTCCTGCCCCCCCTCTCTTACTCACGTTATTGGCCCCTAATTTGTGACTTTCCTACGTTATTGGCCCCTAATTTGTGATTTTCCTGAACATGACACCTTTTCTTCTCCGGATCTGCATTCCACCTGTAGTAATTGTGAGATTATATATGTATTCGTGTTCATTCTTAATTTAAACTAGACCTAGCTGTATATACTACAAAATTTGTTAAACATGCACTGGGCAGGTTTCCATGATGAGTTCGTAGTCTTTATGAAGTTCTTGCTGATTGTTTTCTGTAATCATCGCTCATTTCTCGTCTCCATAGCACAAAATTTGATTCTTGCATCTAACCTTACCGGCGTGTTTACTGAACTTTGTATATATGAATTTCACCTCGTATTTTCTTCCTGGCTTGATAAGAACTGAACAATACAATTTGCTTTCTCGTGTCCAGTATTCCAGATTGAGTAATTCTAGAGATATGCGACCCGTAGACCGGTTTATGAAATTCTTTAGGTGTATTTTTCTTTCATGTACATAGCTGGAAATTGTTTGATATACATTTTATAAGGATAAACAAGGCTTATTGTACGTAAGGCTTGATACTACCCCATTTCAAATAACTAAGGGAATCACTATTTCTCAAATGCAAGATATTGGTTTATTTTATTTCGTATGCCATGTTTTTTGTTTCAGTTCTTTGTTTTTTCAATCCATTTGCTTTCTTGAAATCTTCGTGATAACAGAGATTTGAGAAGGATCTGTCTCTATAGCTGTAGATGATAACTACATAATTATTTGTTCTTTCTATGTGAAATATTTGAAAACCAAATGCAAATCGTTGCAATATTTAGCCTTCAGTACTTATAATGCACAAATGTAAAATTATATTTTGCTATTATGTTCTTCTATTCTAGAATCATTTCCCTAATCTGCCTATTTTGATCATGAAATTAAGTCAATTTCTTCTACTATCTTCATGTGCTTGCGGATAGGATTCTGAAAGCTTATAAACTTATTTTCAAAGCTTGCCTAATAATTTTATCATATAAGTTGAAATTCAGTAAAACATTCCCACTTGACAGTGATCTATTGTTATTCCCTTAAATGTTGATCCAAGTGTCATAAATGGCACAAGATGCAGTTTTGATTAGATTTTGAGTGTGAAATTTATACTGTCTTGCGGTGATGCATGATGTTATTTATTTCATTAGAGAAAGATAAGTGTTAACCTATTAAGTTAATTTGGGTGACGGATTTAATGCTTATGTTAATTATTTGCAGTTTATTTACGGGAGAAAATAGTGGTAGTTTATTTATTGTCATTGGTTAAGACTGTTGCTATTAGATCTATATGGTTGCGGTATATCTTCAATTATTTGCTAAATTGAGGGATTAATGTTCCGCTATTAGGTTAATTAGGCTAGCAGCTTTTAGCACTTCTCATCTATTGGTTCAGCTATTATTTTCTGAGAAAAAAAATTTACCCTTGCTTTGTCCCTACAGGATAATGACTACCTGATAGTGATTCCTTATGCTCACATCTTTGGCCTCATGCTGCAAGCTCTAAAGCTGCCCCCTGCAACTTACCAGCACAAAATATACCCAGGCGGAAAGAATCGTGTGACAGTGACTTTCATTTCTACTTTGGAATTGCTAGATGGTTCACTTGTCCCGAGTTCTATACCAGGTGCAATCTTAGATAGCTATGAAGATGCAGAAGACAGTGCTGCTATGGAGGCTATTAGATTCATGGAGAATGCATATGGCAAAGAAATGAGGGGCTACCACTACACCCATGTCAAGAGGCTAGAAAATCAAGTGACGCACCTGGTCAAATGGTTGACTTCATCCAATGAGACAATCAAGAAGCTGCGCAAAACATGCTACTACGCTGTCAGGTACATGAACTCATATTCTGCCCGGATAGAAAACACAACAGCTGCTCGCCACCTGAAAGGTCAGGACAACACCAAAGGAGTTATGAAAACAGCTCTTGCAAGCATCGAAGGACTGACGCAAAGGCTACGCTACATTGCTATGAAGTTTGAGCAGCGCCTTGAAGCAACCAGAAATAGTTTCTGGTAAACTTTGCTGAATGTATCCTGGATAGCGTGCTTCATCGGTTACCGCAACAACCACCTTTTGTTTCATATCTATCAGACCAGCATCTTTCCCATTTTGGACTACTCCCAACAAGATATGTATAAACTTTAGTCCTCCCTTGCTGCCTCTATGGTGAAAAGTAGTCTATGATGTAGTTTACGATCTTTAGGTTTTATTGTTGTCTGTATAGTCAAGAGCGGTTTACCATCGCTTATTGTATATATGTGAAGGTCTCCTCTTCTACTGTTGTTTCACAACACTATGACCGAAGAAAACAACCTTTCCTTTTATCCATGCTTTCACACTAATGTTTGCATCAAACATTCCCTGTGATCATATCTGCAGCACTTACAAGCTCATATTAAGATTTCCCAATCGATCCTGTACACATTCAACCAATGTATATAAGCTATTCTTTTTGAACAATAATAGGTTAGAGCATACTCTCACACCGATTAGCTTACATTCGGCCTTTGCGCCATTGGCGCAACGAGTCATCTAGTTATTAGGTAAAGATATGCACACTCGTGCATATTCGAGAAAAAATGTCTTCAAACATTTTCAGCGGTTTTGAATATGTTTTGTACCTTCAAAGAGATTGATCTTATTGACCCCACCTAAAGATAGATCCTATACAGTACTGGCTCCCGAAAAACAAATGTTCCAACTTCATGAACAATGATCGATGGATCATGGATCCTACTGGGTTCAGTACCAAATGGGCAACGGCAAACGCACGACAGAACATGTTACGGAGCTCATGTGAAAGCGGGCCAAGATCGGTCGTCCCACGTTTCCATGTGGATTTTTTTATGGACAAGTACAGGCTTCGGAGCCATACAACAGCACAAGTGTACAGAGAACCGCCCAATGTGCGTGTCATCTTCTCCCGGAAGTATTGTTTGGTTGGCAAAGATACGTACAGCAAAATCGAACTCACAAATGGGCAACCAAGTGACAACGAAAGTACAAACCAAGTAGTGCGTTGCACACAGAACAAATATTCTAGATAGCCGTGTCCCCTTTTTTTTGCGAATATTTTTTTCTTTTCAAGATATGCCAAAATGGCACTGTAAAGTGTACACGAATTACTCGCAGGAATATATACCATCTTTATTCATTTAATTTAACTTAGCTGCACTGTAAAGTGTACGAGGTTATTAGTAGAAGCTCCTGAACTGCCCAGCATACCCAGCATCAGGCCATCACAAAACATATATAGTATTACAACGAATATATTCACCTAACATAGCGATTTCTATACAGCAAAACGAGACAACTTAATTACTTTTTACTGGTTCTTGCTGCCGAAGATGCTACGGAGCTTGCCGCGCTCCTCCAGCCGCTCCAGCAGGTCCCGGGCGCCGGCGACCTCCATGTCCGACAGCTTCTTCAGGTACCCGATGGCGCCGTGCGAGACCATCAGCTTCTTGCACCGCTTCGCCGGCGACAGCGTCGCCAGGCACGCGATGGCGTACTTCCTCGCCGTGTTCGCCGGGCTCGGCTCCAGCAGCTGCACCAGGCTCGGCACGCTCCTCTCGTCCCTCCGCACCTCCCGCGCGTTGCCCGGGTGCCCCGCCGCCAGGCTCGCCACCGCCTGCGCCGCCACCTCCCGCGCGCCGCCCGACTTGGCCTCCAGCATCCGCACCAGCAGCGGGATGCAGCCGTGCTCCCCCACCAGCCGCTTCATGTCCTTGCTGCCGCTGGCGGCGATCCTGCAGATCGCCGCGGCCGCCGCCTGCTGCGCGCCGGCCGAGCCGACCCTGAGCGCGTGCGCCAGCCGCGGGAGCACGCCGAGCGAGACGATGGTGTCGGGGGAGATGGCGTCCACCATGTTCCCCAGCGCGCGCACCGCGGACTCCTGCGGCGACGGCGCGTCCAGGTAGAGGAGCAGGCTGCGCAGCCCGCCGTCGTGCGCCACGGCGCGCCGGAAGCTGTCGCCGCCCGTCGTGAGGTTCTGCAGGCAGTCGGCGGCGTGCTCCTTGGAGCCTAGCACGGTGCCGTAGTCCAGCAGGCTGACCATGACGCGGACGATGCCTTCGTCGGCCAGCGCTTGCCGCGCCTCGGGCGCCGCGGAGAGGTTCTTGAGCGCGCCGGCTGCCGCGGACTGGGACACGGAGTCCCCCGTCTGGCAGATCTCGATGAGCGGGCGCACGCCGCCGTGGCCGGCGATGGCGCGCGCGACGTCGGGGGACGCGGAGAGGCGCTGCAGCGTGAGCACGGCCTTCTCGCGGCCGACGAGGCTGCTGCCGGACTCGGCCAGCCGGATGAGCGGCGGCAGCGCGCCCTCCGACACCAGCAGCCCCTCGCAGGCGCCGCCTCCCGACTCGGCGAGCCGGCAAATCACCATGGCGGCCTTCTCCCGCGCCTTGGGCGCCGGCGCCGTGAGCAGCTGGACCAGCGCGGACACGTTGGCGCGGCCGAGCAGCGACACGACACTCTTCTCGTCCCGGTTGAGCGCGTCGAGCAGCCCGTCCACCGCGCGGGTCTTGGCGTCGGCGTGCCCGATCTGCAGCCGCGCGAGCAGCTCCCGCACGTCCGCCTGCGCCGTGGCCGGGGCGGCGACGGCGGAGGCGTCGGAGTCGGAGAGCACGCCGGTCCGGACGAGCAGCGCGCAGTCGCGGAGGTTGACATCGAGCCGGGCGCCGAGGGCGTCGATGGCGCTCTGCGTCTGCAGCTTGCCGTCCCTGGGCGGGCCCCGGCACCGCGCCGCGAGCTCCGCCGCGTCGGCGAGCGTGGCGGCCACGGAGTGCAGCAGCTCGCGGCAGAGCGCGTTCCGGGCGAAGCAGGGGTGGCTGGACAGGTCGGACAGGCGCGCCGGGAGCGCGCCCAGCTTGGCCGCGATCGCCTTCCACCGGCCCGGGAACCCCTCCGCGGCCGTGGCGGCGCCCACCGCCGCCTGCACCATGCCCCTCACGCGCGCCAGCAGCTCCTCCGCCGTCTCCTCCCCGGGAGCAGCCGCCGCCGCCGGGTCGCCCCGCACGCTCATGGCCGGTCACCTGGAGAGCGGAGGCCCGTGCGTGATCTGGAGAATGGTCGTCGTCCGCTGGTACCAGTGGTAAAGGCGGGAGGGAACAAGCGCATGAGGAGGAAGGGAGCAGGGGAAGGAGGAGGAATCGTCTACGAATACGATGATCTCCCTCCCTGGCCACTGTTTCTTTAAGCGAAAACTAGTAGCGGCGGCCGTCGCTTTCGTTTAGGCAGCCATTGGCGTCGCGGCAGCGGCAGCGGCTATCGTGGGGAGATACGGGCGGCCATGAGCGGCACGCCAAGCCAAGATACCAAAATCCAAACTATTTCTACTCTACTCGATCGAGATCGATCTCAGTTGGGCTGGGAAGAGAAGAGATGTGTGGGTTGGTAGAAAGAGGGCCGTGTCGGGTCGGAGTTCACGTTGGTTTGACGGACGCTGTTGTTTTGTGTTCTTGATGATGGTGGTGGTTAGTGGGAAGTGGTTAAGAGACTTGGGACAGACAGTGCGGGGGTCGTGGACTCGAGGGAATGAGACGAATGACGGGCACGAAAGGCAAGGCGGAGTGGAGGTGTGACCGAAAGAAATTTCGCTTGTACTATTATTTTAGCCGGTCGGGATCGGGGGCATGTTACTGGTGGCGCTCGTGGTGCTTGCCCAAGGAGAGGAGAGGAGAGGGGCACAGTCTCAACAGACACCACTTGCAAACAGTGTTCTACTTCTTCAGAAAAGAAAAGAAAAAAAGGACACCACTCGCAGACAACTGCTCACCTTAGGCAAGCCACACTAGGGTTCCACATCTCATACACTCAAAAAGTGTGGCAAAATTCCTTTAGGCTTGCCAACTTGTGGCTCTCATTTTGAAGAACTAACCTTAGCCAAGTGTGGTAAAATTGTATGGCAAAGTGTGCCATGGTTAGGTCTAGAACCAAACAGCCCCTTAGAGTACTAACTAGGTAAGGCTATGAGTAAACATAAGCTTTTCATTCGGAGAGCATGCATGCATGCAGCGAATTACAGGGAAAGAAAGTAAGCGGTTGCTGTCTATCTTTGCTAGACGAGAAAGGTTTTGCGGCTTGGCACGCGGACTGGGCTGGCGCTGCTGCATGCATGCAACTTTGGTGTATTCTAACGAGCGAAAAGATGGCCTACGTTCGTTCTTTACACGAAAAGCGAACGACCGAAGGGGCTGGAATATTTTTGACCCGACGATGGCGCGTCGTCGTCCTTTTTACAAGATTTTACAAGAGGGGCGACGGAGTAGGCAGGCAGGCAGGCGGTGCAAAAGCGTCTGCCGGCCAGATGATCATGGGCCTGGCCCAGCCTTAAAACTCATGACCCCATCATTGACCGCCACGCCACATATCTCGCTGCTCAAGTCTACTACCACCCCGGTGCGGTGACCCCGCGGGCACATGCGCCGCCCGGCGCCTTCGTTGCCACCTGCTGCCTTTCGCGAGCACGAAGCAGTCGTCGGGGTTCCTTCCGCCCGCTGGTCGTCGGTTGGATCAGGGCCGGGCTTGGGCCACTCGAGTGCGCGTGGGCGTGCAAAGCCGAGCCCGCGCCATCGGGCCCGGGCGATTTTTGGATCCTTGCGCGAGAAACGACCGGTCGGACGGACGGGAAGCCCAAGGCTTCTGCTGCCTGTCGCTCTGGAATTTTTTCCAATACCGAGACGCCCGTGCCGTGCGTGCCCCAACGTCGACGGTGCCTGACTGAACGCGAGGATACGACGCCTGCCTCGCGTGGAATGACGCCTTTGCCCCTGCTGCCGCAGAGAAAGGCGCGCTGGTTTGTGGTCAATGAAGAACGACTCCTGTCTGCGTCGGTCAGCGTGATCCAAGCGCAAACGTCCATCGTAAGTAAAATAACTCGTCGACACTTATCTTATCTTGAGGTGCACTGTAGTTACCCGAGACGAGAGACTCTTCTCCTTCTCGAACTATAAAAAAGGCTTTCGCCCCGCTTTATATATAAAGCATAGATCAACCACAGCTCAAGTACAAACACA